TCTGTAATGAAACTGGCCTCATTTTTAAAACTATGAGAATATACTAAAAAGTGGAGGATTATTGGGAGAAAGGACTGAAGTATGGAATTGAAAGCAAATCAGGTAAGACCATGATTTTATTTATCACCATCATATCAATGTAAATACTAGCTTTTCTAAAGTAAGAGAGCAACTTCTGAAGTCAACCTGTAATGATATAAACAAAACTGATGCCAATAATTTTTTTGAAGAAAGCTCAAAAATGATTTTTAACATTTTTTCTTAGTTTTTTAATATGAAAAAATGCAGATTCTATCTGTGAAGGCAGTGACAAGGTAAAACCTGGTTAAATAGTAACCAGAGAGATCAGAGAATGAAAACAAAGAAACCTGAAAAGTGGAGAATTTTATTCAGTCTGTTGAGAAGGCTTTTCCCTTCAGAATTATTTAACTTAAAGAGATCTACCCACTATTTGATAAAAAGTCCATGTAGGCTAACACACCACTGAAGTCCTTCAGTAGGAAAGGAAGGAAAATTCAAGGTGACAATTGTGAGGTTCCCGAGGAAGGGCACATGACACAAAGTCTGCTCCCCAAACATTTGATTCTTCTTAATGGACCAGCCTACTGAATCAGCTGAAAGTTGTATCTAGTTTCATATCCTGTTCACAAATAAGTGCTGAAGATGCATAGCAACAAGCTAAGCAGGTAAACTAAATAATCTCATAATTCAGAGAATCATAGAATGGTTTGTCTTGGAAAGGAGATTAGAGATCATCTAGTTTCAGCTCCCTACCATGAGCAGGGTAGACCTTCCACTAGACCCAGTTGCTCAAAGCCCCATTCAACCTAGCCTTGAATACTTCCAGGGACGGGGCAACTGCAGCTTCTCTGGGTAACCTGTGCCCGTGCCTTACCACTCTCACAGTAAAGATTTTCTTCATAATAGTTAATCCAAACCTGCCTTATTGCAGTTTAATGCCGTTCCCCCTTGCTCAGGCTCAGATTGGACACAAGGAATAATTTTTTCATTGAAAGGGTAGTTAAGGATTGGAACAGGCTGCTTAGGGAGGTGGTGGAGTCACCAGCCCTGGAAGTGTTCAAGAAATGACTGGCCATGGCACTTAGCGCAATGGTTTAGTTGGCATGGTGGTGATTGGTCAAAGGTTGGACTTGATGATTCATTAAGGTTGGGCTTTTCTAGCCTTAATGACTCCATGATTCTATGGCAAGGAAGTAATCTGGCCAGGGAGCTCCCTAAGAAAAACCACCCTCACACTGTTCCCCCACAGCCACATAAGAGACTGATTCATAGACCCTGATGAGGACCTGGTTCCAAAGTCCCTTGAAGAGTAAAACTGAAAAAAATTAACAAATAAATCAGTGTCATAATCTGCTCAGTACACAGCCATGGGGCACTTCTGTTCATTACACTGTGTGTGTAATCTATCAACTTGTATACTGGACACTTCCACCACCTTGTGTGCATGGGTCTTGAGGTAGCAAATTACTTTTTGAATATGAGATTTTAGATCTTCACTCACCTACAGGTACCTTTGACAATGTTGTCAAGGGAGATGGCACTAAATAGTGTGAAACCTCAGTAAGAGGTAGACAAAGTTTACAGTGCATGGAGGAAAAAGAGGAGATAATTGTCCCTTTAGTGTAATCTAAAAAACCACCCATAGCCCAATGTGGGTGTCTCTAGGACTTCCATTATCCTTTAACATCTGTAAACCTTAGGCTGAAAATGTGGTTTGGGAGGAAATGAAAGAGAGATGAATGGAAAATCAGGGACTAGTGTCACATGTAACTAAGCTGTGGAAGCAAAGTGGAAGAATATAGAAATCAAACCAAAAAGCTATCCAAAATCCGGGAAAACAATCCCTATTTTAAGCACAGATTCAAATTTAGAAATCCTAAGCAATTTAATAAAAAAAAGACGGAAGTGGACATTTTCTCTCTTTATCCCTTAAATAACTGAAGAAGCACCATAACAAGGCTAAGACTCCCTGCAGAAATTAAATCAAGTACTATAAATTGGTGGTGTGACAGCAGTAATACACTTTACTTCACAGATCATCCTAGCACAAGTATCTTGGTCAGGTAATTAATTCACGTGCTGAACACTTGACCCAAATTTTTAGGGGTAATCCGCTTGGTAATCTTCTAAATACCTCCAGGCACAAATTTGTAGCAGGGATTTCAGTACCTGTACCTCTTTAGTCGCTGGGCCATAAGCTGAAATGTTCTGGCCACACTAATCCTCATTAATAAGAAAGCATTTTCTACTGAGACCCACATAGACTGTGTGTGTGAGTGTGCATGTGCGTGCATGTTCCAGGTGAGTGCACTTGAAGCCCATTTTCTTGAAGTATTTCTTTTTCACTCCCCATAACAGTCATTGCTACAATGCTGGCATTTTTATCTAACTTCAAGTTCTTCCCTCATGCTACATCCTTCTGTATCAAGGCTATACACTGTAAGTGGGATTAATCTGCTCTGAACAAGGCATGTAAAAAGTTGGACATCTGATTCAGAGCTAGACCCCCTGCAAATCCTCTATGGGCAGCAGAGAAAAAAATGGCATATCCAAAGGATGACTCATCTCATTGGAAGAGCACCATGAGGTCAGTTTGATGACTCATTCCCTGAAGATTCTTATTTTTCTCTTCTGACTGCAAAGAAAGACCAGAATGGTCAGCTTGAAGTTGGACATTTGACCTAGTTCATGATAGGAGAATGCCACGTATTTTAAAAATATTGTAATATTTATGTCAAATGGCCACACAGCTGCAGCATTACATTAGACTTTTGGATCCTTACTGCAGAACAGAAGAAGTGGGTTTTTGTCACTCTGCAGAATTTAAAAGACCACATGCACTTATTTTAGACATGGAATATTTTCAAATTCTTCTTTATAAAGCAAGTAACATACTGTAAACAATTATGCAGCACTGTTGAAAAAACAATGGAAATGGATGCATGAAAAACATTCTTCAGATAAATTCAAATAGAGATCAATTAAAATTCCCTTGAAAAAGGGAAGCTCATTTAACAGTCTCCATGCTTAGCAATTTTAAGCATATACATATGTGAAGCAAAACCATCATCCATCTGTTCGCAGCAAGTTTGCAAGGAATTTTAATAAGACACATTAATGCTAATAATGGGCAATGTTTATGATGTTTATAAAAATAACCAATGGGGAACATCTGGATATCTTGTAAAATTTGTTCTTATAAAATCCACAGAGTGTTACACCTTTCTCTGAGGCTGTTTTTTTGCTGACCTTGTCCTTGTAGGCCAGATTTGTCAGAAACCTTCTTCTTCCAGGCATTGCTATAACTGTAGCACTCAGAAACTCATGTGTTGAAGCCAGACCTATTTCTGTTTTTGTAAGTTCAGCATTCAGCACATTACAGAAGCAACACAGATAGACAAAACTGCAAGTTTCCACCTGAAACTACAGGGATCTCTATTTCCAAGTGACAGATGTTCTACAACAGTTGGTGACAAATGGGCTAATTTCAACTGATTTAACTAAAGTTCAGCCTGCTGACAATGGGGGATTTTTTTTAATGTAGCTGAAGAAGGCATTTCTGAATGCTAGAGCCGGCTGTTGCACACAAAACTACAGAGGCCCTGGTGTGAACTGAACAGCTCACCATGCATGGTGCCTGCATCTCTGTCTCTCACACTGCCTTTTAGATGCTGAGATGCAAGATGATACTGCCTAGAAAATTACCAAGGGAATTAGCTGGTCTTTAAAATTTACTCACTGAACATACATCAACAGAAATCTAATGCCTTTGGCCCAGAACCTTTCTTCCTAAATTCAGGCATTTAAACTCTTATATTAGAAGGCTGTATGCCCTGAGGTGAACTGGTCTTCTGAGATGCTAAGCTCTCCATCACATATGCAAGAAGCTTTGGGGGCTGCTCTCCTAAGCCAGGCAAGTCCATCCAAGCTTGTGCCTTCAGCCCTAACTTTTGAAGGATGTCCACTGAGGGACCAGAAATATATTGTAGAAAAGCCTTTAGGGCTATTTTTTAATGTAAAGATTAGGGGCATGAGTCAGAAATTATGATGTAACAACTACATTGTCCTCCACCTAGCAAATTGTCTTGTTTTTTGTTCTCAACTGGCCTATGAAGAGAGCTGGCTTCAGTATCATAAAGCCTCTTACTTGAAGAGCCATGAGCAGACATGTCAAAACCCAGCAATTATTAAATCAATTTTCTTTCTTCTTTTTTAATTGCTCCTTCTTCCTTCCTTCCTTCTCTTATCACATTTTCTGTGCTCTCTTCTCTCTTCACCTCCCTTGCCTTTGAAGAAAACTTCTAGGCAAATACCCTGATTATTGTTTTATGAGGGCACCTCATTAAGGTAACTTCATTGACTATATTACTGTACTAAGGAAATAGCTGCCAGCACCAGGTATCTTAGACAGTTTATCTGCCTAATTAATACTGGCACTGTATCAGCCAAGCAGTCCTGATGCCAGCAGCAGTACATCACACTTTTCTATTGCGGACATGGCCTGTATGCTGGGAATATATCCCTAAAAGTAGTGGATCCTACAGGCTTTTACCTAAACCTAGGCTAAAAATACTACCTAATTGTGCTCTTTTCTGTAATTGACCTAGTTAACTATCTGCAATGCACAGGCTACATATCCCTTCTCTCAAAAAAAACCCCATGATCTTCGCTCAGAGCAGTGAAGTTTCTGTCTGGTCCATTCTTGAAGCGTTATGTCTACACAACAGTAGACAGTATGCATAGAGCAAGTCTTTGTCTATTAATAAAAAAACTACTGAAACTTTGCTCACCTTGAATAATAAGCTCTTAGGAATGGTCCTTGATCCTCCAAATTGCCATAGAGTGTGGAATAGGATATGAAGTAGAATATGACTGCATTGCAACTACTTACCCCCAAACAAACAAAATGATTAAAACAAACCACTACCACCACCACCACTATCACTACAACAACAGTGGACGAAAAGGGAGTTACTTACATTGAGTAAGGATCCCTGTTAAGGCATTTTTGAAACTCTCCTTGGCTTGCTCCATTTCTTGCTCATGAGCTGCCTTTTCATTCATGAGCCTGCGGACGTGGCTGTTGGCCGACTGCACCATCGAATAAAACTGGTTTGCAGAGCGACGATTCACCTCGCCTCGCTCAATCCAGGTAAGCAGCACTGTGATGGCCTCTGAAAACTTGCTATCATCTAGAACAATCAAAGCACAGGTTTCAAATTGCAGGCATAAATATCCTGCCGAGAACACATTTTCTGCTCTGTGTCACATTAAAATCACCACAAATACTGCTTGCAGTATATCATTTTGTGCAACTTTTGTGTCCTTTGTTCTATCAGATGTAAGAAGCCAATACAGCCATGTGAAACTACATAAATCTTCCTTCAACACTTGTCTTCTCCTTATTTTAATAGCTTTCTCACAACAAAAAGCACCCTTCCTGCCTTCCCTGTGGCCTGAGTCCTTGCTTTCACAATGTCTCCCTTAAGCTGTTCAGTGATATGGAATGACCTTACAGCAGGAGTGAGGAGACCTCTGTGGTACTGGACTCACTGAGGAAATGAAATGTGTCTGTGTTAATCTGCTCAGCTAAAAGCTCAGTGTTGCAGCTCAGGTTCAGCCATACTTTTGTCAATGGATTTCACTAACATTGCGTTCTTAATTAATAAACAATGTTGAGGCTGAATGATTCTTCCTCAAAGCACTGATTAATTACAAGGAACTGCTTTGAACAGATGATGTGTCTGTATTTGCTTTGTATTATTTGTTTTGTATGATTTGTCTGTGTTTTGCTTGATATATTTTTTTAAAGGATTCCAGATGAATCCAGGAGAACACCTGGATTAAAACTTCATGTTTACCATTCAGGTAACAAAAGTTATATTTCTCTGCAGAAAGACTGCCAAAACTGAAGGCTAGATTTTGTGCACTCCCTCCCCAAGTAATCTTCTTTCCTCTGACAGTGCTCTCAGCTTCCTCAGAAGACTCTTAGTGCAGCATCCATTACACTTCAGGCTTCATCAGGATTAAGAGGACACATTTCTTTATAAGTCTCGTTTAGGCTGAACTGCAAGAAAATGTTATTACAACAGGGTCTTCCTGTGGAATGACTTTTGTGCAATTCGATCTCATTTATTTCAACAGAATTTTATTTCATAAAACTACTTTTTCCCAATAGCTCATCCCTGAACATCTCATCTAGTCCTTTTTTGTTTTATTTCTCTATATATATTTTAGAGGGTATGTATCTATTTCTATAGGAGAAGGTATATGGTTATGGTGGGAAGAAGTATAGTTATAACCAACAGACGCTTAAAACAAAAACTGAAAATATTAAACCCAGACAACTGTGTTACAGGATACAGAAACATGGGACATAGTTTATAAGACACTGCTTTCTGTGTACAAAGAGTAATTAAATACTAAGTCCTAAGTGATGCTTTTGGCTTTTATTCTGAAGCAGTAATCACTTCCCAAAGAGGTGAGGAGCCTAAAGTACACAAAGGACTACTGACATGCTCTGTGCTCACAGCCTCTGAAGAAGACACTTTACACTGCCTGATCTTTAACATCTTATTACCTGAAACATGCTTTCAGCTACAGCAATAAGATTTGCTCCCCACAGCTGAATAGGCATGTTCACCCAAGATCCCTGCAAAAAATTTGCGAAGTAAGAGCATCATACCACCCTCCCTGTTTACAATGTTGTATCTGTTGTAACATAAAATTAACATGTGATTCATCAATATAATTCACTAATTAATTAATTGTCCATGGGAAGGAAGGGTCAGATGGGCATCTTTTCGTTCCATATTGTCCCCTCGGATTAGACTACCCTTCTGAGCTTTGTTGGATACAGATGTAGCAGTTATGTATGAGAGAAGCTGGCTGAATATGGGCCTCAGAAAAGCCAAATGTAAACAAAAGTCACGCAAAGACTGTTCATTGTAAGGAAATACAAGTATAAGGCTCTCAAAAAGACTTGGCAAAATCTTCAGCCTGCTGAAATGCATGGGAACTGGACATCACAGATCTGATACAGCCAAGAACTCATCCCTGGAACACAATGGTTATTATAATCACAGTAGTAAATAAAAATATCCTGTAATGGCTTCTGGCAATGTTAGCATGCAATTTCCAACAGTCTGTACAGTCAGGTCACGCTGTGGATGGCACCAGCCTGTTAACAGCAAGCATACAGCTGATTGTGAGCAGAGAGTAACTACAGCTGAATGTTCCTCATTTTACCTTGTCGACGTCATTATCTAGATCATCACACATAATTTATCACCCAACACTATGGTACCATTTAGACCAAATTATCCCATTCAATCTCGGTCAAGACATGAACAGCAAAGTTGGGAGAAATGATACACAAGAAACACCTC